CTTGAGAGTCCCTTGGACTGCAAGGAGATCCAACCAGTCCATCCTAAAGGAGATCAGTCCTGGGTGTTCATTGGAAGGACTGATGCTGAAGCTGAAACTCCAATACTTTGGCCATCTCATGCAAAGAGTTGACTCATTGGAAAAGACCTTGATGCTGGGTGGGATTGGGGGTAGGAGGAGAAGGGGACGACAGAGGAGGAGATGCCTGGATGGCATCACCGACTTGATGGACATGAGTTTGAGTAAACTCCTAGAGTTGGTGATGTACAGGGAGGCCTGGCATGCTGCAGTTCATGGTGTCGCAAAGAGTTGGACACGACTGAGCAACTGAACTGAACTGAACTGAATGTAACATATTACCAGGTTCCAGGAGTTAGGACCTAGACATCTTTGGGGAGATGTGTTTCTGCCTACCGTAACTGGTAGTGCTAACTGGTGCCTGAGTTTGCTGGATAGGTTTTCCTTTTCTGTTTAGAATACCACTGACTTCTCTTTTTGATTCATTGAATGCAAGTGAAGTGTTAGGATTCAGAGTCATGATAGTACTATATTAGATGTAATACCTATAGGGAAATATAGGTGGAAAGAGAATTCTAGAAATACTGAAAAAAAAAAGAAAATATGCTTAGAATATTACTTTGTAAAATAAGAAGTCCTTATTTATTTTTGAGTTTAACTACTTTCAATCTTTGGTACTAAGGTCCATAGTTTTTCAATACCCAGCAGCAGGAAGTAAGCCAGTAAAGAACCTGTTAATTTAGGATGAAAATATTCCAAAGTAGATACTCATTCAGAGCAATAAATTTTAATAATTTATGTAAATTTTGATAATGAATAACCTTGCATTTTAATGTTATTTCTTTTTTACTTAGATCATCACAAAATACGTATATGAGCTTCTGGAAAAGGACTGTAATTTGAAAAAAATATCTATTCCAGTAAGTCCAATTTTTAAAAGTATTTATATTTCCAAATAAACTATCTTCAATTCAGAAGAAAACTTTTGTTTTAGATTAACTGTGATAAGTTTAAATGTTAAGATCCTTATATTTTGATATTGATAAAGATAATATTAAATGCCTGTCATTATACTTCATCTCATTGTGTGTAATAGTTCTTAAAAAGTAATATTCTTTAGTGTAAAGAAAAGAAATACTGATTTTCAGTCTTTTTTGAAAGTGATGTCACAAAAGAGCTACTCTTTCCTCTACCCTTTCTCATTTCATTGGTATAATTTATTTTAGCATGTTTATTTGAAGTAAACCTGTGTGCTCTTTCTTATATTAGACATTGACTATCATTTTAATTATTTCTTGATTATTTTAGATTATATGTTTAATTTCTGTCATATTTCCTCTGAATATCCTCAGATTTACTCCTGTTTGATAACAATACTCCTTTCCTTGTTAGTGGAAGTCTTTTTTTTTTTTTTTATTTTGCACATTTTGCCATTTCAGAATGAAAATGTTTGAAATTTGTTCTCAAATTCAGTTTCTCAAAAGAGCTTTTTTGTTTTGTACAGTATGAAATATTAAGCTTTTGAATGGAGAAATAATAATCTTATGTGTGAGATGATGGTAGACTAGATTAGATTATTTTTACTGTCCCAGACAGTTCTCTGGTTTTTACAATCTTTATGAACCTCAAAGACTTCATGAAAATAATTTATTTAAGGCACTAAACTTAGAGTATTGATAATTTAGTTTACATGAAATTTTACATGAAGTTCTAAAATTCTTTGGGTAGTGTTATTCTACTATCAAGTGAAGGATTTTAGAGTTTTTTAATACTCCCATCCTCCCAAATCACTTACATAAGTTGATTTTTTAAAAAGATCTCTATTTTATATTTAATTTTCTATAGATAACTTCAAGTACTAGGTCATATTGTTGTTTATTAACTTATTCATTCAACAAATATTTATTTTAGGGTGCCAGGCACTTTTCCATGTGCTAGTGATATACTAGTGAATGCAGTATTATTATATGTAATCACTAGGCCAACACTTGTTTATTTGAAAACTTTCCTTTTGACTTAGGTGAAAACCAAGATTTTAGTATTTTTTTTGAGAGTGAATGTAAAAGTCGTTTTCTGGATTCAAACCTCTTGTTTTGTTTTCGACTTTAGGTCTAGTGTCTCACTCTATTAAAACTATATGTTGAATTTGGTCTTCTGGAAAGTAAGGTAGAATTTTGTCACTTTGTCCAGTCTCCTTTTTTGGTTAACTCTATTTCTTTTGAAACTTCTGATGAATGATACTTAAAGAGCCTTAGGTTAATCCATTGTTACAGCACAATTAATTAGTATTGAGTCCTTTAACTTTGCAATATTGAACCTTTAAACTCAGTTTAATTCCCTGGGTTTCTAGAACAAATTACAAGACAATTGGCCATATCTGTCATGTTATATAATTATTTCATTTTTGTGTAGAAAGCCTGAGATTAGATTTAGAAGGACTTGAATTATTTTCCTCTTATTTAAATTTAAATCTAATATTACACAGAGAAAGCTTTTCATTGTATGAGATCTGTAACAACCATTATGTCCATTTTTGGTTAGGAAAGATTTCCTAATTTTATAAATGAAAAGGAAACTTTTTTTTATTTTAGAAAATTAATCTGTTATCATAACATATTATCATAAGTTATCATAACATATTTTATATAATTATGATATTTTTCTTCCCTAAGTATTAGTTTTCTCCTGAGTTCTCTTAAATCCCAAAGCTAGCAGTGAGAATCGGGTTTATTCTTTTGTTCAGTCATTTTTTTTCCTAAAGATAGATCACCAATTTTTTTTTCTTTTACTGATGATGAACTGAGTTTTAGTCTTATAGTTGAAATATTTAATAAGGAAATAATTCTTTTTAATTGATACTACTCTGTAGAAGCCCGTGATTTGACAGTAAAGGTCATGATCATGGCTCATGATCACGTTGACTCTCCACCTCACATAAATAGGTACAAAATATTCTCAATTTTAGTTTTTCACTCTTATGTAGAATATTGGATATGTGAGTTAACTACAGATTTTCATTTGATTTATTCAATCATATTTAAATAAACTTCAAAATTAGTGATTTTCATAAATATCCCAAAATGAATTGTTAACTGCAAGGAACTGTTTGGTGTAGGCTCACTGACCAATTGGTCTTAGACATTGATTTGTCTATAATAGAGGTGGTACACTTGGAATGACCTTTTGTGTTTTCCTTAATGAAAGCTCATCTTAGTAAATTACCATTATTAGAAGATAAATGGCATGGGAACAGTCATTTCAAAACAAAACATCCCAGACTTAAGTTAGGGATTTCCCTGGTGGTCCAGTGGTTAAGGCTCTGTGCTTAAAATACAGGGGGCACGGTTTTGCTCCCTGGTCAAAGTGCTGAGATCCACACATCCATGCCATGAGATGCAGCCAGAAAGTTAAAAAAGAGAGAGAGAGAGAGAGATTTAATGAAGAAAACTTTATTTTATTCATATAGATATTTTTCTATTTTAAATTGGCAATAACTTTAGAGTAAATGATCAACTGCAGAATCACAGTTCTGCATTATTTTGAGATGAATATTATTCAATTACCACCTTAAATATCACTTTTCCTCCTTTATCATTAATACTATTACACTGTTCATTTTTTTCCTTAAATCATCTAATGTTCTGATATTTTTAAAATCAATGTATTTGCATGTTCAAGTAAAATTTTTATTTGTTGCCCCTTCCCTTAAAAAATTCTTGAACAGTATCATAAAAAAACACATGTTTATCTTCAGAAAATAAGTACCCTTCCAGTTTTAAAGTGATTACTGTAGAATTTAATTCCACCTTTAAAAACTGACTGAGGTACTTGGTTTCAGGGGACTTATTTAGTAGGATAGAAAAAAGGAACAGTGGTCAGCACCTTCTAGAAAGTCTATAGCTAGGGTTTTTTTTTCATTAAGATAAACAGATGTCCATTTCCATATATTCCAGGATCCATTAAGGCCTCACTGACTTTAAGAGACTCTCTTATTTGCACCTATTTAGACATACTTTTTGGTAAATGAATGACTGGAAACCTCTGTGGTCTCTGTTTTATGTTTTATTATTCACTGACAGCTTTGCCTTTTCATTTTTCTTTTGTTCTTATTACCATTTTCTTTCTTTTTTCAAGCTGTTTTAACTGAATGATTCCTCCGTTCTCTTATAATGTTCCTAGGTAAAAGGGAGTTTTTCTTCTCAGATTTGGTTTGCTCTGTCTCCCATCCACTTTTCTTCCTCTATGACTTCAGTCATATCTATTGTTATTATAGTAATTTGTTAATTCTAGACATCACATGTGGTAGTGTTGTACTTCCTTCTCTTACGTCATATTTACTTACTACTAATAAAGATATAGTTATGTCATTTTGATTCTAAGCATTGTGTAGCTCTTTTAAAATTCTCTGTAATCATGCATTAGTTTAATCTTTCATTTGTGCTTTCTGAACCAGTCAAGTATTATAACCAAGTTAAGAGGACACATTGTTTAGTTAAATGCCTTTTATCTAAAGGAAGTCACTGGTGAGGCTTGATTAAGATTCTTTAGTCTAGAAGTTTATACATTCTTGTATAACTCAGTGCCTATAATGTGCCAGCCTTTCTTCTGTACATTTGGTAATACACTGGAGACACAGGTCTATGCCTTCCTGTACTTTAGTAGAGGGAACGGATGGTTAATAAACAAACATACAACCAGATATAAAGTAAAGCACATTAGGTTGCATTATATGCGCTGGAGGGAAATAAAACAGAGGCTGATAGTAGATAACTCTTCGGGAAGTGTTTAAGTGGAGTGGTCAGAGCAGGCCTCACTGGGAAGACGCATTTTTCCTTAAGCCTGTGGCCCCGCCCTCTCGCTGAAATAGTTACCTTTGTGCTGTGTACATGGGTGGCTCAGCATCTGTTACTGGCCAGTCTGATTGTTTTAGAAGTACAGAGATTTTAATTTTTTTCTTGTCCCAGAAGTAGTGACTGGGCCCGTTTGGAATCTAGGGCACTTAATGGCATTGATTTTTTTCTTTATTATGTTGATAATTTTATGACTGTATACTGTTGATGAAGTGAGGTGCTATTGCATTGCCCAGCATATGAATTGACCTTCTCTATTTGAGGATGTGTTTATCAATCACCTGTCAAGATTTTAACTTCTGGCTCTGACCTGGTCACACAAAGCCTGCCATTCGTTGTTACTTGCCACTGCTGATGAGAATGATGGGGCATGGCATGACATACATGATAAAAGATTGGGAAGTTACCCTTCTCTAAAAATCGCTAACTCTTTGAAATCTGAATCTAGTTTAAACCTAAATATTATGTATAATCAAAATAACTAAAAATATTCACTTTTCATTCTATGAGTAACTAATGCATAAGGTTATCAAAGTATACAGATAGTATTATTTCACAAAGTATTTGTTATATAATCCTGTGTTCACACACTGAATAAAATGTCAAAGTCTATTTACATAGAACAGTTGGTGTTTGAATTTTTAAATAGTTCCCTTTCCTATGTTTGTTAAAAGCTTAGTAGTTTTCCTCACTAATCTGTAGTTTTCCAATATGTGTATTCTTCAATTGGGTTTTCTGTTTATTTTAGATGCAGCATATTTCTGTTATGACTTATAGGCTTAATATCTGTGTGATTTGGGCGAGTTATTTAAACTCTCCAGGCCTCAACTTCTTCATCCATAAACAAATATAATAATAGTCTCACCTTAATAGAATTGTGATTAGTTGAAATAATGTTTTAAAAACATTTAGCATAGTATGTAGGTTATAGGAAGCACTTAAAATTATTCTTTTTTTGTAATGATAGTATAATACTGATATACAGTAGCAATGGAGAAAGACATATTTCCAGTATTCTTTTCTATATTTTTATATTTTAATTACCATCATGTCTTTTTGCTCCTCTACCTTATATGTAAGTGTTAATCTCTAATGAATATTTTAATTTTATTTTAAAGTTTTTTTACTTCTATAATTCTGTAACAGCTGTTCTATAATTTGTATTAACCACTAGTTGTTTTCTCATTTGTGTCTATGATCAGAAAACATTTATTTATTATTTAATTTTTTTTAATTACAGGTAGATGCCACTGAAAGTGAACCAAAGAGTTTTATCTTTATGAGTGAGGATGCTTTGACAAATCCACAGAAACTGATGGTTTTAATTCATGGTAGTGGTGTTGTCAGGGCAGGTCAGTGGGCTAGAAGGCTTATTATAAATGAAGATCTGGACAGTGGCACACAGATCCCTTTTATTAAGAGAGCTATGGATGTAAGTGCAATTTCCTTTATATTTTTTTGGCATTTTATAGCTGTTTTATTATGTGTTATAAATTATTTTATCATGTCTTTTAAAAAATCTTTCCTAAACATAGTCTTATCTTTAAATTGTTATCATTTTACTTGTAGTGAAAGATTATTCTGCATTATTTTGCAGTTACAGCAAAAAATAAAAAGACATCTTCAGTGTACAAATGATTTAGATAATGTCTTTGAAATGAGTATTTTCAGTTCTAATTTTTTGTTTCTTATTACATGAAATATCACTTTAGAATACCAGTATTAAAATACCAGTATTACTGAAAATACTTCTGAAAAAAATATGACTGCTTTTATAAATCTTCACCTACCTGATTTAGTGAAGTTAGAAACTAAAGGAAACCTGCTACATTAAATTAATATTTTATTCTTTTAAAAAAAGAGTTGGAATAACAGCAATTTTCTGTCTTCAAAAATAAATAAATAAAAACTCTTGAGAACCCACAAACACAACGCTTAAGAATAAGACAAACACAAGGTGGTAAATTGCATTATTTACTGAATTATTTTATTCTTACTTAAATTCAGACTTTTTAGAAGTTGGTATTTGAAAACTGTGTTCCAGGTTCTCTTTCCTGTGGTAGTGAAATTGCCTTTTCTGACCTCGCTTTGTTACATGTTCATGTTTGGCGACTTGTTTTACTCTTTCATTCTTAAGTTCTCCAATGAATAGTTAAACTTTGCAAAGTTGGTTTTCTTTCACATATGAGTAGAAGTTTTCTTCAGAAAAAAAGTAAAGTGGCATCTTTACTTATAAAAGTTTAATATAGGAATGTAAAGTTATTTAGGAATATATGTGTCCATGTATGCTTTATAAGAGCTACTTTATTTTTGTAATTAAAATAGGTAAGGAATCATTTGATACACTAATGAATGCAAAGGTGAAAGATATGTTTCTTACTTGTTAACTCTGAAATGGTAAGATTAAAGCCCAGCTCAGCTCCTAAAGAATATTTTGTTAATAGACTTTGAGACACTTAAAATGCTGCAAGTAGAATTTCATAGGCGAATTGTATATTTTATTTCAGTCTTCTTAGACATGCAAAGAACCAAAGATATCACTTTTGATTGGTTGCAAACATCAATGGTGTGTTTTTTAATTAGAATTTAAGTAACTTAAATAAATTTAGTTTATTTTTAAGTAATTCACTTAATTTGTTGTTAAATTGTTTTATATTTCAGGTTATGAATAGTGAAATGAACTTACTCTCTGGCATATTAGTTTCTGTTTGGAACAGATCCTGTCAATGTATTTTAAGAACACTTTATGTGAAATGTGATCACAGTTCAGTGAATACTTGAAAATACAATTTAGTAAAGCAAATCAGATATTTGTACAAATGAGTGCTTGGTGAAATATTTTATGTAAGTTACATTGTCTGTGTTAGTAAGTAACTAAGCCATTCCCACCCCAAAATGTTCTTGTATAAGGTTTTTTGAAGTGAAAGAGTATAGAGAAAACCATCTCAAATACCTTTGAACAAACTATCTGTTGAGATCCCAAACAAGAGGGAGGAAGTTTTGTTAGAACAGTCAGTCATTTCGTTCTTTTAAGTAGAAATATAATTGGAGGGGTTACAGCATTTCGTTGTCTTGACTTTTTTCTGCTTTTCTCAATCAGAGCAACTCATAATTCCTTGAAAAAAATCATCTGATTTCTGAGTTCTTTCGTATTTAGTGTTTATGTTGTATACTTTGAAAAGTTCAGATTATGTACTTTATTCTCGATTTTATGAACTTCATTCTGGTAACTTTCTACATGATGAATATTTAAAAATGGTTATCTCTTTTTAATTTAGATAAAATGATTTGTACTACTTCAGCTTTGCTTTTTCATGGTACTTCTCTGATAATTCTTCATGGGCTGCTCCATGTTTGTGTGTGGTTGGAGGGTAAGACAGGTAGGGGAAACGATGGAATTCTAGGAAGCAGGAAGAGGAAGACTAATTGAGAGAAAGAAGCTGTCTCATTTTTACTTTCAAATGAGATTAGCCCCTGCCCTCTGCAGTCCATGGGGTCGCTAAGAGTCGGACACGACTGAGCGACTTCCCTTTCACTTTTCACTCTCATGCATTGGAGAAGGAAATGGCACCCCACTCCAGTGTTCTTGCCTGGAGAACCCCAGGGACGGGGGAGCCTGGTGGGCTGCCGTCTATGGGGTCGCACAGAGTCGGACACGACTGAAGCGACTTAGCAGCAGCAGCAGAGCAACAGACTAAGACAACAAAAATTAATACTTAGCTGTTCTTATATGTCAGGTACTACTTTAGTGTTTTATATGTTTTAATTTAATCTTCACAACAAGAGTGTCATTTTCGTTTTCTAAGGATCCTCCTTACTCTTCTCCATAGTGGCTGTACCAATTTACATTCTCACCCGCAGTGTAGAAGGTTTCTCTCTGATCCAGGAATCACTCTCCTTGGGCATGTACCCAGAGAAAACTGTAATTTGAAAAGATACATGCACCCTGGNCTCCCTGTCCATCACCAACTCCTGGAGTTTACCCAAACTCATGTCCATTGAGTCGGTGATGCCATCTAACCATCTCATCCTCTGTCGTCCCCTTCAATCTTTCCCAACATCAGGATCTTTTCAAATGAGTCACCTCTCTGCATCAGGTAGCCAAAATATTGGAGTCTCAGCTTTAACATCAGTCCTTCCAATGAATACCCAGGACTGATTTCCCTTAGGATGGACTGATTGGATCTCCTTGCAATCCAAGGGACTCTTAAGAGTCTTCTCCGAAACCACAGTTTAAAAACATCAATTCTCCTCTGCTCAACTTTCTTTATAGTCCAACTCTCACATCCATACATGACTACAGGAAAAACCATAGCCTTGACTAGATGGACCTTTGTTGACAAAATAATGTCTCTGCTTTTTTTGGTCATAATTTTCCTTCCCAGGAGTAAGTGTCTTTTAATTTCATGGCTGCAATCACCATCTGCAGTGATTTTGGAGCCCCCAAAAATAAAGTCAGGAATCAGGATTGCCAGGAGAAATATCAGTAACCTCAAATATGCAGATGACACCACCCTTATGACAGAAAGTGAAGAAGAACTAAAGAGCCTCTTGATGAAAGTGAAAGAGGAGAGTGAAAAAGTTGGTTTAAAGCTCAACATTCAGAAAACTAAGATCATGGCATCTGGTCCCATCAATGCATGGCAAATAGATGGGGAAACAATGGAAACAGTGAGACACTTTATTTCCTTGGGCTCCAAAATCACTGCAGATGGTGACTGCAGCCATGAAATTAAAAGACGCTTGCTCTTTGGAAGAAAAGTTATGACCAACCTAGACAGCATATTATAAAGCAGAGACATTACTTTGCTGACAAATGTCCATCTAGTCAAGGCTATGGTTTTTCCAATAGTCATGTACAGGTGTGAGAGTTGGACTTTAAAGAAAGCTGAGCACCGAAGAATTGATACTTTTGAACTGCAGTGTTGGAGAAGACTCTTGAGAGTCCCTTGGACTGCGAGGAGATCCAACCAGTCCATCCTAACGGAAATCAGGCCTGAATATTCATTGGAAGGACTGATGCTGAAGCTGAAACTCCAATACTTTGGCCACCTCATGAGAAGAGTTGACTCATTTGAAAAGACCCTGATCCTGGGAATGATTGAAGGCGGGAGGAAAAGGGGATGACAGGATGAGATGGTTGGATGGTATCACCGACTCAGTGGACATGACTTTGAATAAGCTCCGGGAGTTGGTGATGGACAGGGAAGCCTGGCGTGCTGCCGTCCATGGGGTCACAAAGAGTTGGACACGACTGAGCGACTGAACTGAACTGAACTGAGGCATTTTAGTTGATCTCTATACAAAGGGCAAAGAAAGTAGATGACACTTAAGTCGTTTCATTTCTAATTGCAGGAGTGGTATTAGAGTGTGAAATTTAAGGAGTCGTTCACTCTCAGGATGTGCACTCGTTGTACGTCCCTGAGAGTGAATGCCTCCTCAAATTTTGCACCTTAGGTACCTCACTGATCTGTTCCTGTCAAGGCTTTGACTGACTGTCATGTATGCACTGTCAAAATTTTTGTGGTCTGGAAACCCGTATAAAGTCAAATTTTTACCATGCACCAGAAACACCTGGAGGATTTCTTGGATCAGATTGCCCTGTTCGGATCCCAGGTTTTAATTCAGAAGGTTGGTTGGGGCCTAAGGATTTATGTATATGAGAATATCTGAGGTGATGCAAATGCTGCTGATTATGCACCACACTAGCTGGGATAGGTAATATTGTTTGGATTGGTTGAGAATTTATGTATACTTTTCAGGCTCTAGGTGTAAATAGATAAGGTAGAACTTGATGACAATTATATTTAGTTTGACAGAGGATGAGAAGTTCTAAAAAATATTTTATAATAGGATCGGTGAAGTAAAAGTTTAAATGATGAAAGTGTACTTTCAAATTGCAGGTGTTTCATATCCAACATGACTTAAAATTTATAATTGTAATAATTTCACTAGAAATCTAGTAACTCCACTAAACCAACTTCTTAAAAATAATTTCTCATAGGATTATTCAGAAGAATCTGCTGTTTTCATAATTAATTACTTTGAATATTACTTTCATATTGTTAATATCTAAGTTTTAAAGACTAATGCTATATTTATCAATGTAATTTATACAGTTTGGGTTCTATAACACAGTGGACTGAGCTAATTAACAGGCACTTATTCCTCACACTGAGAAATAATGGAATAAGACATAGCAACAAGAAAAATATTAAATACCTAAAAGTGAAAGTCACTAAGTCGTGTCTGACTCTTTGCAACCCCATGGACTGTATAGCCCATGGAACTCTCCAGGCCAGAATACTGGAGCAGATAGCTGTTCCTTTCTTCAGGGGATCTTCCCAACCCGGGGATCAAACTCAGGTCTCCTGCATTGCAGGTAGATTCTTTACCAGCTGAGCCACTACCGAAGCCCTTTAAATACCGAAT